GGCGGCGGGCAGGGCCTGGGCGGGCGGGGGGCGGGCGGAGGCGGGTCTGAGGCGGGGCCTGCCGCTCCTCCGGCCCCCATTGGCCGCTGGAGAGCGCGCGTCACCCGGCTGGCGCTCACCTCCAGCCCCAGTGGAATTGGAGCCGAGGAGGAGCTGAAAATGCAGATTTAGCATCAAGCACAGACATACACTCGCTCTTTCTCTCGGGTACACACAGATTCCCACATTCGCACCCCTGCCAGCAAGCCGGGCTGCGCGACTGCACCGCTTCCCAGCCAGCCGGCTGCCGGTGGACAGCACACAGATCTGCCGTTTGCCCAGCCTCCCTCCAGCTTCTTTTTCTATACAAAGATTTAAAAAACAAAAACAAAAACTACATACCAGTTTTTTAATTTGCACCTTCCCTCCTAGTTCCCTGCTCCACCAACCTGCGCGGCCCCCAGCCCCACTTTCCAGTCCTAAAGAAGGATGGAGGGTGGTTGTGGCTCCCAGTGGAAGACCGCCGCCGGGCTCCTCTTCTGTGTCATGGTTTTTGCATCTGCCGAGAGACCGGTCTTTACGAATCATTTTCTTGTGGAGTTGCATAAAGAGGGAGAAGAAGAAGCTCGCCAAGTTGCAGCAGAGCACGGCTTTGGAGTCCGAAAGGTAAGCTCTCCCGTGCACTTCGCATGTTGTTTCCAAACCAAGGGACAGCCTTGCGCAATCTCCTTGCAGATTTGCAAGTTTTCTGTCTTTTTCATGCTATGCAGATATTCTGCCATCGGCTCTCAAACACAACATTGCCTCCGGTGATCTTTCAGGAGTTATGTAATTAAAATGTCCTTCATCTGTATCAGAAAGGTCAGCACAACATTTTGGTGGCCTTTGACTTAGTGGGGAAAAACAGGATCGCATCTTGCAAAGAATGCTGTGCGCCCAGGCTGCTGTCCGAGGTACCAAGTTCTCCAGGCTGTCTGGGGGCAGAGGGATGGAGCCCAGGGTGGCTGGGCTTGACGTTGGCTGCTTTTCCAGGGAAGTCTCCCCGCCCCCACGCCCAGGAGGAAGAATAGTTTCCCACCGACGACGGGGCTCAAAGATTGGGCATTGCAATTCACCCCAGGGCTTCTCCGATCCAGCACCTGGAGGACTTCCCTCCCACCGACTTTCAGTTCCTGCTTTTTTTCTGAGGGCAAGAGCTTCCTGACTAGGAAGCATTGACCGGTCTCTCTTTCCAAATTCCAAAAGGAACTTCTGAGCTCTGGCCCCCACCCACAACCTCCCACCCACAAAGCGCACTCCTGGTTGGCTCTTAACTCGCTGCTTAAGACACCAGGGGGAGAGGTGAACTCTAAGGAGGATTCCCCACGGAGAAGTCGAGGTGTCCTCTCCTGGTATGTGGGCGGACAGCTTGGCTTTCCCGGGAGAACACGGGGATCCCCATTTCAAGAAGTTGTCCGAGTTCAACTGTTTAGGCAACCGAATGGATAGGGCTCCCGGCCTGAGATGCTCCTGGCTAAATCTGCTGAAGCTGGGGGAAACAGAGAAGAGTGTTGTGGACAAGGGTCGTGCCTGACTCTTGTCCTTCCTTTCTGTGTCCGAGATCTGGAGTGTCCTTAAGGGACCTGGTGCGACTGGGAGGGAGTAAGGATGAGGAGAGGGCCAGTACGAGAGGAGCCAGAAGGTCAAACGATGCAGCTTGGCTGGGGGGAGTTCAGCGATGTTCCAGGCCCTGTCCCCTCACTCCTGATCCCAGAGGATAGAGGTGTGAGACCGCGATGGCATGGGCTCTCTCCCTGGAAGGGCCTCGAGGACTAGGGTTCCTTCCTATCCACCTCCTCTGTTCGGACTTCCCACGCCTCACGCCTGGCTCCCAGCCACTGCGACGGCTCCTTTAGGAGCGCCGGGCTCTCCCGCCTCCACACATTAGAGGCAGCGCCACAGCTGGGTTTGGCAGTGAGTTTCACTGAGGTCGGGGAGGAGGTGCCTGGTCTGTGGGAGGCGCGCAGGCGGGTCTACAGAACTAGTTGCTCCTGAAAAGTGTGGGTGGAGCAGAAGAGACAAGAGAACAGGCGCCTGCAGACAGAGCTGCGAAGGGAGCAGTCCAATGGCCTTCCAGCCCAGGACCTTGAGACTGTCTCCAAAGCTCATACGATACCTGAAGCAAGCAGGACCCTTTCATTTTCCCCACCCCCAAAGTTGGCAAAACCCAGGGTCCTGACGGCATTATATATGATTACGATTTACTGACAGTTAATAAGAACTTTCGTGTGTTGGAGTTCTTAAATATATTTTTAAGATTTATTTTACTTCAATTACACGTATGTGTGTAGGCATGAGCCCGTGGTGCCCGTGCCTGCAGACGCTAGAGACTTTGGATCCCCTGAAACTGCATTACAGGCAGTTGTAAGGCCAGATGTGAGTACTGAGAACTGCAAAAGCAGTGCGGTCTCTTAACCACCGAGACATCTCTCCGGCCCCTTTGTATACATTCTTACTTAATCTTCTCAGCAGCTCCAAGGATGCTACTGTTGTCAGAGAACCCACAGGACTGAAGAGGAAATTGGTTCAGACGGGTCACAAATAAAAACAGGCAAGGGTTTAAATGCCCATCTCTCAGAGGTGAGCCTAGACTTATCCCTTCCTTCATGCCAAAAGGTGCTAGGCGACGGCAGGGCTTGTGGACCTTAGGCTATGCTGGGAAGGGGTGCAGCAGTGGGTTTCTTAATTCTTCAGTGCCTACGCGCCTCGCTCCCTTCCAAACCAGGCCCTTTTTCACAGGGTAGGCAGACACTGTGACCCGTGGTTTTCTGTTCCTTTTTCTCTCCTCTTTGAAAACACACACAATCTTAATCAAACAGACATAGCTGTGGCTATTAAAGCTGACCCCATCAATTCTCCAAGGGAGTTATTTGTTCTAATAGGAATGAACAACTGAATGAGGGATTCACCGGTTAGGATGATGACATTGAAACAAGGAGGTATAGAGACCTCCCCATTGTGTATATTCACCATTTGGGTAGACTGAATCACAAAGCTCACAAATTTGGGTGTGAAATCAGATAACTAGGAATATTTCTCCCCATGCTTTTTGGAGAGGAGCCCACTGATTTTGTATCGAGTCTCAAACCTGCAATTCCCATCTGCAATTCCCATCTCTTTTTTCACTTTTCCTTAACCTCTCAGATGGTACCTCTTAGCCAAATCCAGTGACTTTTGCTCTGATACACAACCAAGTACTAATCTGTCTGTGGCAAGGTACTTCGGCCAGATGAGTCTGCATAGCACAGCACCTGCTTATAATGAGCCCCCTTTTCTTCCTTTGGATCCATGTGTTGCTGGTCCTACAAGATCTTCCTGAATCTAAATAATCATTGCCTGGTGCTACAGTCCCCCTGAGCTTTCCCTCTCCGAATGCCCACGGAGCAGGAGAAATTGGTATATGCTGTGCGGTCCTCAGTTTCTCAGTGCACATAAGTGAAGGTGAGAGCAGGCATATTTTTCCACTGGGAAGCTAAGTATTCAGGGTGACATCATCTGTATTCTTGGCTTTTGTACCGTAACCGGTACAGTGCTGTACTTGTTAGCCTTTAGAGAAACTTTCTTTGCCTTGTTCATTAGTCCCAGGTTCCCAAGCACTGCCCTGTCTTGCTTTCATTTCATTGCTCTGCATTTCTACCAACTTTTATCATTTGTTTGCATTTAGATCCCCAAGATGTCCCTCTCTGGGGGTGCTCTGAGCCTTAGCAGCCTTCCAAATTCCCTCCTGATGTATGTCAGTGATGAAAGATGCTCAGGGGTTAGATACTCATATATAGGAAGGGGCACGATTATAGGAGAAGGGAGCCTTCTCTTTTACAGATTACCTCATCCTAACTTCACAAAACTTCAGTAGAAATGGTCAGTGCCAGCCCTGTTTCTTAGATGAAGCTCATGGCTCTAAGATATTAAGTAGCTGACCATAACTGACAAAGAAAATAGCTCAATTTAAATCCAACTTTGCTTACCTAGAAGCTACCTCCGGGAAGTCATCTCTGACAGTCACAAACTCTACCTTGGAGGCACCATGTTGAATTAGTGATAATTTTTTCTCCCTTGCTCTTTTTCACTTTTTCTGTACTTTCCATTTATTTACTATTAATATAGGAATGGATGTCATCAACCAGTGTGCACATCTGTGTATTTCTTCGGGTAAACTATGAGCCTTCAAAAAGGAGAGCATAGAGACTGTCTTCCTAGCCCTGACACGTGCATGATGTCCTGGGTATGAAAGCCTAGAATATTTGTCAATGATTTAATTATTTCATTATTGGAAGACCATCAGCCAATATTTATGTTTTTTCTGCTAAATAGAGTAAAAATACCTCTCTGACTTTTTTGGTTTTATCAATATTTGGCCCTTGCTCATACACATGTTCAAGGCTGAGCATAGCGGTGCAGACCTTTGTTGTCAGCACTCAGGAGGCAGAGGCAGGTGGATCTCTGTGAGTTCACCACAGCCTGTCTACACAGTGAGTTACAGATGAGCCTAGGACTACATAATGAACCTCTATCTCAAAAAAAAAAAAAATGTCCACCTGAGAAAAAAGGATGTGTCTGCAGAGTGAGTGAGTAGCATCAGGGTAGTGGGAAAAGCATTATTCTAAAGAATGCCTTCAACTTCCCAGCACACCATTTTTTTTTTATTCTTTTAAAATAGAAAGTAAAAATTACTTCTTGTCCAGGCATTACGTCTGTTCTAGTTTGCCTTCAATTGCTGTGACAAAACACTCCGACAAATACCAACTTGAGGGGGAAAGGGTTTATTTAGCTTCCATCTCCCCAGCCACAATTCATTGTTAAGGGAGCCCAAGGTAGGAACTCAGAGCAGGAACCTGGAGGCAGGAGCTGGAGCATAGGACATGGAGGAATGCTGCTCACTGGTTTGCTCCCCTGGCCCATGCTCAGCCTGTTTATTTACATAATACAGAACAACCTGCCCAGGGATGGCACCACCCATAGTGTGCTGGGCCCTCCCACATCACTCAAAAATCAATAAAATACTCCACAGGCATGGTCACAGACCAGTCCAATAGAGGAAAATGCCCCACTTGAGGCTTCCTCTACCCAGGTATGTCAAATTGACAACTAAATCTATCCAGCACAACATCTTTAATCTCAGCATTCAGGAGGCAGAGGCAGGTGAATCTCTGTGAGATCCAGACCTGCCTGGTCTACATAGCAAGTTCTAGGCTAGCTGGGGCTAGAAGGAGACTCTGTCTCAAAAAAAAAAAAAAAAAAAAAAAAAAAACTAATTGAGATAATGGCACTGGCACTCCATAACCAAACAGTTTCAAGTTTCAAGCAATTGTGGATGGAAAATATTGGCCAAACATAAAGCAAGAGTTAAGGTTGTTTTTTTTTTTTTTCAAAAACATTCAAGAGTTAACATTTTAAAACATGATTAGACATTTTGTTTTGTTACACTCTGTTTGGGTTTTTAGCCATGGAGGACTAACACTGGAGTGATTACGCAGGTAAAACTGCATGACCATCTTATATGAGTGAGGATATTTTTCAATTCTAAAAGCAATCTACTAATAATTGTGCTGGCAGATAATAAAAATAAACTTTGCATCATTATACTTTTATGGATATATAATATAATTTAATTTAGGAAAAAACATAGC